AGGAGCACCATCTCCAGCCCTCCCCATCTTCCTGCCCAGAACGTCCTTCCTCTTCAGAATCTTTGGCTTTCCACAAGACTTAAGTTCCACCTTCTGACAGACGTCTTTCCTGATCTCACTAGGTACTAGTCCCGTTCCTCTGAGAGTCCCTTCCATCCTCTCTGTATGTATATGTGCATATGTGTGTGCATGTGTGTGTATGTATGTGCATGTATGTTATGCATATGTATGTATGTATGCATTTGTACGTATATACGCACACAAATACAATCAAATAATTACATAGTATATAAAGAGTAGAGTTGTGTATACTATTTATATAATACGATTAATTGGAATTTTGGTAGAGACAGGGGCCAGGGAATTCCAGCCATGGGCAATGTACAGCACTAGAAAGGGACAAGGCCAGTTGCTAACTGTCCAATCTGGCCGGAACACAGGGCAAGTGTGGAGGCTTAGTAAGGGAACAAGCCTGGAAAGGGCACTTGGGAAGTAATCATGGAGAGTCATGAACATGAGGCTAAACCATATATATAGCATATGTTAATATGTATCAATAGCATAGTTACAGGAATATATTTGTAAATATTATATTTATGTGTAATATAAATACAACATGTGGCAGGGTATAATTGAATATTATAAATGTTATAAATGTAAAATATTGTGTTGCATTGTGTAAAATGTTGTGTTGTGTTATGTTATGTTATGTTATGTTATGTTATGTTATGTTATGTTATGTTATGTTATGTTATGTTATGTTATGTTATGTTATGTTATATTATGTTGTCTTCCCCATTAGGATATAAGCTCCCTGAGGGCAGGGACTACTTTTGCCTTTCTTTGTATTCCCAGCACACAAGAATTTCTTATTAAATGCTAGTCGACTGTTTGACTTAGTGTATCTATCTTTCCCTCCATCATACTGTACACTCAGTGAAAACCAGTCTGTGTATCGTTTATCTTTGGGTCCTCCCATGTTGAGTGTCACGCAGTGTGCAAAACCAATTACTAATCTGCATCTGTTAGACTGAATTGCCTTGAGGTTGAATTGTAGTGGTTAAGAAGTACCCACCTCAGTGAAATCACAGTATGTAATAAGTGCCATAAGAGACAAATAAAGACTGTGCCATGGGAAATTGAAGAGAAAGAGAGAGAGAAGGGGAAATAAGGGGGAAAGCATTCAGGAAAAACTGCATGGGCATGGAAGAAGCAGCTGTCTTGAATGACGGATAGAATTTTGGTGTTCAGTGACAGGGGCCAGGGAATTCCAGCCACGTGCAAATGTTCAGGGCTAGAAAGGGGCAAGGCTCGTTGCTAACTTTCCAATCTAGCTATAGCACAAGGCACCTACGGAGGCTTAGTAAGGGAATAAGACTGGAAAAGGCACTTGAGATGGAATCACGGAGGGTAAAGCGTCAGCACTTGATTCAGCAGACGTGGGAAGCCACACTGAGGGAAGAGCTTTGCATAGGAGAATGGCAGTATCGGAGTAGTGTTTTAGGGAAAAGAATCTGGCAGTGGTGTTCAGGATGGATTGGGAAGGGAATGGGAGACGATAGGCAGAGATCAGGTATGACCTCACTATTACATTACAGCAGAGCGAGGTCACACAGTCCTCATTTAGAGTAGCTTGGGAATGGTGGTGCCACCGAAAATGGACAGGAGGGGCTGTATTCGACATTCATTACACCAGATCATTTGGGTTTTCTGGAAATTCATCGCTGCACTTCTACTCCCCCACCTTTACTTCACCCCTACCCTGAGTCTGTTTCCTCTGGAGACACGCTTTGGTCTAATGAAGAGATATTAGACTCCAAAGGAGGAGCTCCCAGATTCTCTTTTCTGACTCTGCTAATGGCTCTGTGACTGACCTTGGAAAAGTCAGGACCTCTGTGAACTGTGGTTTATTCAAGAGGTCCCCGCAGCAATACTGCAAGAAATAACCAAGCAGTGTGAAGGCCAACGAAAGCCAAGGACTCTGGCAGTCTGACACCGTTACCAAGCTGTTCAGTGAAGGCGATAAACGGGTCCGATACCGATGCGAGCAGCGAGCCAGCCAGCTTGGCTTGCTCAGTGCGGAAACACACGCTCTCTGAAAGCATGCTGCTCTTCATATCGTAATGCTTTGGTCTCGCTCGACACCTCAAGCCTTCTCTTCTTAATCATTTTCAAGTAGTCCTCGGCTTTCCAAGTTAGAGACGGGACCACAGCTCTCTTGTGATTAATTGACTGTCCTTCTTTAACTCCATGTGAGCACAATTTACCCCGGAGGGAACAGCTTTTGGAGCGATTGCATTCATGGTGAAATGCTCTTTGACACTATTCTATCCGCAGGTGGAAAAAGGTGTGTGTGGGGGGGAATGACTGCATTCAGTCAGCAGCCCGTGTTACTGAGAGGAATGTTTCCAAATAAGCAATTCTAAATGTGACAAGAGCTTTTTACTTGTCTACTCAATGCCTATATCCCTCTGACACGCGCTGGCACAACACTTTTCAGAGATGGAGAGACATAAAGGAATGTTTCTTCATTTGTGAAAAAGAAAACAGATATCCAGCAGTTTTCTCAAAAGCTCACAGATCATAGACCTGAACTCGGAATTGTTGCACACATCTGTATCAAGGCTGGGCCAGGTGTGGCCAGGTGAACTAGCACAGCATATCCATACTAGCCGAAGGTCCTTACAACCTTTCACATCATGGACCATTTTGGAAATCTGTTGAAGCCTATGGATCCCATCTCAAAATCACTTTTAAAAAATGGTAAAGGCAATACTAAATTTCAATTAGAGGAAAGACAAAATAATCATGGACTCCTTGAAATTTATCTATTGACACTCCTTGAGGGTCTATGGACCCCAATTTAGGATGTTTTGTTCTAGGCATAACTATGCAGATAATATCAAGCTATTGTTTAAATTAAAAGATTGTTACCAATCTGATGGAAATAGATATAATCTTCTCTTCTGGAGAACACCCTGTGTTTCTCCAGTTCACAATGCCAGCCAGTGGTATTTGACATGCAAAATATATGTACATGTGTGTATATGTGTGTACATATATATACAAATATGTATACTATATATATGGAGGGCAAAATTTATTGTGATTAAAAATAGCTCTAAGGCAAAGGAAAGTCAATGTTACTATTCATTTTTTCCTAACTGAATCATTTCTAAGTCTCTATTTTAATTACACTTAGCAATTATGAAAATAATTTCCTCCAAAATGCAGCTATATAAAGTATTTGCTGATGTCTGATGAAAACTAATCATATAATGCATTACCAACTGGAAACAAACTTGTTCCTTGCCCCCAATGTCTTGCCTCTGCCTGCTTCATATCCCTGAAGATTTATATATCTGATATACATAGCCAGAGCTGGCCATTGGGGGAAAAAAAATGCTGCCTTCTTGAAATGACTCATTTACAACTTCCGTGTGTAAGAAAATGAGAGTGTTACCAGAGCTTGCTGCTTTTTGTAGTGGCTTTTCCAATAAAACCCAGAGACAGTATCCGGGTGTATTAGCCAGAAGGAGACTAGTAGGAAACTAGTTCACTCATCTATCAATGAATCAACAAGCAGTCAGATATCTTGTAGGCATTTTTTAAGAGCTTAGAGTGTGCCAAGTAGTGTGCTGAGCACTAGAAGTGCAAAGAAAGGCCTTCAGAAGCTTACATTTACATGGAGGAGACAATAAGCAAATAATTCGATTCCCCTCAGAAGGTGAGGTTTGGGCTGAGTCATGATAGAAAGCAGTTGGCAGAGGTGAGGAGAAAAAGCATCTTATGCCTCAGGGACAGCCAATGCAAATGTGCAGAGTCAGGAAATGGGGTGTCCTCTGTGAGGAACTCCAAGTAGGCCAGGGTCACTGGATCATAGAGTTTATGGAAGCAAAAAAAGCATGAAAAGGCAGGAAAGGTCCAGGTTGTGAAGAGTTTTAAAAACAGACTGCTCCATTTGATTCTGGAAGGAACAGGAGGCCACTGGAGTTTGGGTGACATAAGTAAGACCTATGCTTTAGAAATAAATCATTTTCACAGCTGAGTGGAAGATGGATAGGGAATGAGGATGGAACGGAGGCCAAGTAGTCAATTTGGAGCCTGCTGTAAGAGGTCAGGTAAAGGATGATTAGAATCTGCATTAAGGTGACAGTTGTTTGAGAAGAGAGAAGCCAACATACTAGAGATGTGGAAAAGGTAGAAATGTATTGAATAGGAGAGTGAATCAAAGAGATGCAAAAGGATTGCCTTGCAGCAGTGAGGGCCCTGTTGGGTTTGTTGTTATGATTTCAGTTGTTTTCTGGTGTGTCTGACTCTTTGTGACTCATTTTGGGGTTTTCCTGGCAAAGACACCAGAGTGGTTTGCCATGTCCTTCTCTAGTACATTTTACAGATGAGGAAACTGAAGCAAACAGGCTAAGTGACTTGTCCAGGGTCACACAACTAGTAAGTGTTTGAGGCTGGATTTGAACTCATGAAAATGAGTCTTTCTGACTCCAGGTTGGGTACTCCATCCACTGTGCTACCCTGCACATCAATGTATCAATTTACTGATTCATGCAACATCAATTTATGTTGTACCCAGTCAGCACTTCTTGACTTTTCTGAAATGAGGGCAGCTAGGTAACAAAATGTAGAGACTACTGAACCTATAGTCAGGAGCACTATCTGTTCAAATCCAGCCTCAGCCACTTACTAGCTGAGTCATTTTACCTCGCTGATTGCCTCAGTTCGCTCATCTGTAAAATGGCGATAAGAATAGCACCTACCTCCCCGAGTTGTAGTGAACGTAAAATGAGATATTTAGAAAACACTTTGCACTATATAGAGGTTCATTATTATTAGGTGATCTCTATTAGGTGGTTTCTTATTGTTCTAAATTTCAGATTCTACGATAATTAGAGCTTTAGAAGGGATGTTTATGAGAGGAAAAGACATTGATTATAACGGTAGCAAAAGGCACAAACAACTACACATTATGAAAGAAAGAAACTCACCTTGAGTTTATGTTCTTTTCTATTAACAATAACAGCTGTGATTTGTTGGTCCATGAAAATCAGGATGGTGACCAGCAGGGCAGGAATAGCAGATGCAAGGTACACCCACCAGGGGTTCCCTCCAAAGGGTGGGACAAACCAGCCTCGGTTGGGACTTGTTGGCTTTGAGAACAAAGAGAGGAGGAAAAACTTCAGAATAATCATAATAATTTTGAGGTGAGCATGCCTACCAAGTAAGGATAAATCAACCTCTGAGAAGTACTTTTGCCTCTATGGTTTTCATCTGGATATGCCTAAAGACTCATTAGTCAACATACATTGTTTCATGGCCCATACAGACAAGAATGATCCCAGACCCTCCATCACAGATCTCATGTTTCTTTTGTGGGACCAATGAATAATTTCACAAAGCTAGTGTACAGGGAGCTATGTCAGTTTATAGAACTAAGGGCAAAGAAACCCAGCAGCATCTACATATCGAGAGAAGTGGAGAGACAGGTAGACAAGCCCAGAGAGAGACAGATTAAACAGAGACAGATAGCAAGGAAGAGATAGAATCAGAGATGAGCAGTAAAAGAAAGAGAGATTGTGAGATGGAGAAAGAGACAGAGAGAGAGAGAGACAGAGAGAGAGAGAGAGAAGTTCCACCTACCTTGAATTCACTTGGCACAATTAGTTTTGGAGTGTCCACACCTACCAGGGCATCGACAATACAAAAAATGAAGATGGACAGGATAATGGCAAAGTCACTAATAAGTTTTCTTGCCTAAAAGAAGAAATAAGACACCATTGACTTAGGTTAATACTCAAAACATTGCTCGATTTCCATGAGAATGAAACTTTGTTTACATGAAGGTAATCCTATCATTGTCTCAGGGCCGATGGACTGGAGGAATCACGCTGAGATTTGGTCATTGTTTAAATTATGTTATGAACTGATATCATGATAAAATAGGTCCAAAGTTAGAACTTGATAGAGCAGAAAAATGGCATTTTAGATCTGGAAGAATATGGAGAGATTATACACCACTTCTAGTGAGATTACACAGGTTTTTGACCCAAGTAAGTGCTTAATAAATGCTTTTTCATTCGTGAAAAAAAGGAACCATCAGAGGAATGCAAATTCTGATCAAATAAGCTCACATGTGAGGTGAAAACTACAAAACACTATTCACATGTTACTTACTAATGACCTCATCACCAAATCCAACGACTTTTAGCAGTATTCATCCTCCTTGGTTTCTCTGAAGCCTCTGATACTTTGAAGTAAGTCATGCCCTCCTCTCCTTGGCATCCCACTTAGCCCTCAAACTCAATATGTTTTGAACTGAATTCATTATCTTTGCTTATTTCTGCAGATGTCATCACCACACTCACAATCTTGGAACTCGGACTCAGGCTCATGATCTTGGAGTCTACTTTGGATCTTCCTACTTTTTCAATCCATGATAAATGATGTTGATTCTATTCTAGCAATATCTCACATCTGTCTCCTATTGTCCCCCCCTCACTACTCTAACCAAGGTCTTCTTTCATGGACAAATACCCATTAAATCCTCTCTTCTCCTATCAATTTATTCTTCATATTGCTGGCAAAGTAATTTTCCTAATGCATGGGTCTAATCACTCAAGTCTCTCATCAAAAGCCTTTAGGGGCTCCCCATTTCCTGTAGGATAAAAAAACCCCAACTTTTTTAGATTGACATTCAAGGCTTCCAGATTTGTCTCCCCTTCATGAACTCCATTTACAGAGTAACAAAATGATTAGCCATTCCCTAATCTGGTGAGAGGCAATATGACATAAGGAAAAGAGTATTGGATGTGGAGTCAAAATACCTCAGTTTGACTCCTGATTCAGAAAATTACTCTGATCGTGGGCCAGTCATTTAACTTTTCAAGGCCTTCTCAGATGTCTCATCTGAGAGAAGATAATATGAGTGCTACCTGTCCCATTAGATTGTTTTGAGGAAAGTACTCTGCACACCTTAAAGTGCATCAACCTGCATTTTTACTGTCCTACCTTGCAGTTCTAAGCCTTCAATTCAACAAGCATTTATTAAGCACCTCCTATGTGCCAGGTACTGTCCTAGACACCAGAGAAACCAAAACAAAAATGAGACAGTTTTTGATCTCAAGAAGTGTACATTGTAGTGTGGGAGAAAAGCACGTTCAACAGCAATTCAATATTAAAATAATACAAAGTAATTTGGGTGAGGAACGAGAAAAAGAATGCTCATTTTTTGTTATTTACTCATTTTAGTTGTGTCTGACTCTTTGTGACTCCATTTTGGAGTTTTTCTTGGCAAAGATGTTGGAGTAATTTGCCATTTCCTTCTCCAGCTCATTTTACAGATGAGGAAACTGAGGCAAATAGGATTAAATGACGTGCCCAGCCAGGGTCACACAGCGAGTTAGTGTCTGTGGATGGATTTGTACTCATGAAGATGAGTCTTCCTGACTCTAGGCCTGGAGCTCTACCCACTGTGCCCCCTAGCTGCCCTAATTAGTAGGGGAATACTAAAGGTGAATGATGTAAGAACTCTTGGAGGAAGTTGCCTCTGAGCTGAACGTTGAAGCAAACTAGGGATTCTGACAAGCACAGGTGAGAAAGGAGAGCGTTCCAAGTATGGGCCACATCACAGACAAAAACACGGAGGTAAGAGATGAGCTGCTGTTTATGGGGAGCACTAAGTAGGCCGCTTTGGATGGCACATAGAACCTGCATGTGTGGAGGGGAGGCAGGTACCATGAAATCTACCTGGAAAGATAAGCTGGAAGCAGATCTTGAAGGGCTTCGAATGCCAAACATATCATCATTGTGGTATGTTCTCCTTGCCTCTCTCACTCCCTTCTTGTCTTGCCCTTGACCTTATCACTCAAATGACCTTGTTCTCTACAATATCACCAATGGTCTCTTAATGGCCCAATTCAATGGCCTTTTTCTCAGACCTCACCCTTCTTCACCAGTTGATACTTGGCTCTACGTTCTCTTCTTTGATAGCTTCTTCTCTGTTGTCCTTGTTGACGAGGTTTTTTTGGGGGAGGGGTTAGATAGTACCCTCCCTAACTACTCTTTCTAAGTCTCCTTTGCTGGACCAGCATCCATATCCTATCCTCTAAACATGAATGTATTCCAACCAATTTGGCCTACTTTCAAACCCAAAGGAAATGTAACATTTTAAAAATATAGAAATGAAACCAAATCTAAATCTATTAAGACACTCTGAAGTCTGTACCTCCCTATCACTTACTTCTGGCAGTGACTAGACATGCCAGTCCATTCATGAGAAAACCTGCTCCCACAAGGTCATCTGTCCTCTCCTGTGGAATGAGGAGTCTCAGACAAGTGTGGCCCAACATCATTGCTTGTGGGGGCCCACTCAGAGAGAACTTGGGATCTCTTCTGGCTCCCTCTTCGTTAATCTGCTAGTGACCAATCTTCCACTCCTGTTGGCTGAGACAAACACAGTGCACAACCCAAGGCGGAGTGAGTGATAGTTTTTTGGGGTTTTTGTTCGTTTGTTTTGGCATGGCTTTGTTTTTTAGCAGAAAATAAAAATGCAAATATGGTGACTAAACAGCTGTTTCAGCATATGTCATTCTCCATTCCTTCAGCCAAGGTCCTTAAAAGAGATGATGTCAGCAAAAAGAAACAAAATACAAAATCCCAAATCCCTGAACTCCAGCGTATGTGCTGAATGGAATAATTGCCCAGTTCAGGAGGTTTTCTTCCCCCTTCCCCACCTTCTTTTTGGAGGTAAGGAGGAAAATGAAGAGCTAAGTAGCGATCCTCATTCCCTGCAGAATTAATTGGGAGATATCTCAGTGAATCAGGATAGGAGCAGCCCATTTACATAATCATCAAAACTGCCAAAACAAAAGGCTAAAAGCAAGAGTGAGCTGGGGAAGGCCTCTCAAAGAGCCCTAGTCTATCCCTTACTGCTTAGCAGAACAACAACCTAAGACACTCGTTATAATCACACACTTCCCGAGGGATGCTGTAGTATTAATTATTGAAATAGCCACAATAGGAGACAGCAACAATGAGGAGCCAATTAATCATTGAGGGGGAGAAGTGATTTTAATCTTCCTGAAACCCAAGAGAGCATTCTGTTTTCATTTTGCAGAATTACTGCTGTTGCTAAATTAACCACGACAAAAGAATATTTTGCCTCCAGAGCTGTTCTCACTGGAGGGGATCCTGATATAAGTGACTAATGCAGCATAACGCAACCTGTAAGCGATTGATAAAGATGATATTTATTTCTGATGTCAAATTTCTCTAAATAGCTCCTTTCTCTTATACTCTTCCCATATTCTTGGTGTTATATTCCAAATAAATATGATAAACGAGCACTTGGATGACAAACTGTATATGTTCTGGCCTGTTAGTGATAATTGGAAGTATTATATTACCATATTATAAAAGAAATAAGAAACACAATTAGTAATGATAACAATAATGCAACGGGTCAGCTAACTCTTTGCTACCCTATTTGGAGTTTTCTTGGTAGAGATACTGGAATGGTTTGACATTTTTTTCTTCAGCTCATCTTACAAAAGAGAAAACTGAGGCAAACAGGGTTAAGTGACTTGCCCAAAGTCACACAACTATTAAGTATCTGAGGTCACATTTGAACTCATGAAGATGAGTCTTCCTGCCTTCAGACCTGGCACTTTATCCACTGCACTACCTCACTGCCTTGGATGTAGGATACAAGTACTGTTATCTCCACGTTTACATGTAGCTCCTTGTCAGCAAGCAGCTTCTTCCCAGTTGGAAGGAGGGAGGATCTGAAAGATCATGGGAGGAGTTTCCTTTTATCGGTACTTTTATAATAGTTTTTTTCCCCCTGAAGATACGTGCTGATTTTCATTGCATTCTGAGCAAGTGCTCTCCATAAATGAGAGGACCACACCACCAGGAAGGACAAAGGTGTACTCTGGAAAAATGTCCCTAGACTTGACCATAGGCCTATATTGAGGCTCCTTCTCTCTGGAGACACAGAGACTTCAGACAAATGAGAAGTCTCTATCTAGACATTCTCTAACCATATCCTTAATAACACATTCCAAAATTTTACTGAGAATCAAAGTCAAACTCATTGGCCTCTTATTTGTCAAATCCATTCCTCCTACCCTCTCTTTAAAAGAAAAAAGAAAAAAAAAACTTGGGCATTAGCTAGGCAGTGAGCTGCCACAGTAGATAGATGAGTCCATGAGACTTGAGTTCAAATAATGCCTCAGATACTAACTTGGTGATTCCAGGTGTCACCTTTGCCTCAGTTTCCTCATCTGTAAAATGGGGGTGATCATCACAGCGTCTACCTCCCAGGGTTGTTGGGTGGATCAAATGAGACAACATTTGTAGAGCGTTTTACTGACCATGAAGTATTTTATAAATACTAAATGCTAAAAATCATTGTCCTTTTCTAGTCCTGGGGCACCTCTCTTGTTCTACAGTCCAAAAGCCTTGGATCATTAATGGTTATGAATGCTTAAAACTACTCCAAGACTTTTGGAGCATCCTGTATGTAATCTTCCCTACATCACGTCCAGTGGTTTAGCGATTTCATCCACCAGTTCCATTTCTGGAAGGAAGCATATTTATCAAGGCTGGGTAGGTTTTCTTTTACTATCTCCTTAATTACTTAGGAAATTGACTCCCCATCAGCCATTTCTCTTCTATTCTTTCCAATATAAAGATGATTCATTCTCCTCTGGCAAAGAAAATAATAGCAAAATAAGAAAGAAAGAAAGAGTTTTGCAGATGAACAATTATTGCCTCATCATCTCATTTTCCCTTGCTTCCATCTTCTGTAAATACCTTTTAACAATAGAAATCAGTTGATGGGTTCTTTGCATATATACATCAGCCTCTTCAGACAATTCCTTCCCCCCCCTTCTTTCTTCTCAATTGATTCTTCTTATATCTTTGGAATGGCATTCTTGAGAATTTTCTGTCCATGCCTCCTACCCTCACTGAATTCTCTTGTAGAATTTTAATCCAGGGGATACTACCTATATTTTCTCTGAACCCTTCAAAATCTAGATTGCATGTCCAATTATGCCCAGATTTCCTATCCTCCTCTATCACCAAGGGCTAGGTAAAGAACTGAGACAAAAGATGGACTACTTTACCATCACAAAAATATCAATCTGGGAGGGGAAGACCCTCAAAGTTTGACTTGAATTTAGAAAGGCCAAGGTCATCCACTGCGTCCAAGGCCATCACTAGTCATCTTGATTTCTGTCTTGCCACTGGACTCTGATAACTCTGGAGGAAAGAATGAGACTGACATTGAGCAGCTCTGCCTCACCAAAATCCAATTCATGCACAAGTCAAGACACCACCCTGTGATGTCATTTTGGTCCTCTTCAAGAACAAAGAACAAACAACTAAATTTCCATTACAAACTCTAGGAAGCAGTAAGCTTCCCCCACTCCCCCACTGAGGCGCTCATCATTTTCACCCAGCAACTGGTTCCTCCCATCTGGTAAGAATCAGAACCAAAACAGAATTCCTCCTTGTTGGTTCCTATGATTTCTGAAGGATGGAGTTACATTACAGCAAGAAAAGGAGTTGTTAGCTGCTCTGTTTGGGCTCAGAGAGAGCTTTGGCATGTCTGGGGAGTTGAAATTTCCCATTGCTATTGAACCACACCTCTGTGTCAACACTTAGGATTTATAACCTGAGCTCCTCATCTGTTTTCTCTTTCTGTCCAGGTGGTCTGTAGTGATCACAAAACTCATCTCAAGAAATACATCTTGACAAATGGGAGCAGCACCAATAAGAAGGTGTGAAATTTTTTTGGTGTAGACAGTCTTCCTCCTAATTCTAACACAGCAGGCCGCATGGCATAGTCCAGAGAAAACAGGTGTTAGAATCAGGAAGCCCTGGACTTAAGTCCTAATTTTGACATATATGGCATGACATTGGACAAGTCCCTTAACTCTGTCCTAGGCAACCCTCTAACTATCCAAATTACAGAGAAGATGTCACATTGTTGGAGCATGTGATAAGTTCTCTGAACCAATAAAAGAACAGATCCAGTCCCCATCTCACTTCTAATGCCTCTTTCTGTGTCATGTTCATGCTATACCTAGATGCCAATTTTGTGGAAAGATGCTGGTGTCTGGTGAGTTGACATTCTTTAAATGAGAATGTCAAATAGTCTGCTACTCTTAGAAACTACCCCTTGCTGGGTATTTTTGTTCTTGTTCTTTGCTGGTTTTTCTTCGCCCTGTTCCTATCATAGGCTGGTACAAGCCATTTTGGGAATATTTAGCCCAGAGCAACCAGGACAACTGAAATATCATCAGGGCAATGCCTTTTTTTTTCACCTGCCCTGCCTTCTCTGTGTAACAGTTATGTCTGGCTGGAAAATGACCTCGGTCTATCAAAACAGGAGAAATTCTAGACATCTGCAAAGCCATTAGCAACTTGGGAGTTATATCATCTGCACACTTAGCTGAAAAAACGTTCTTTTAAATTGATTAGAAATAGGATATTCAGCAGATCTTAAGATGCCCATGAGATCCTTACTCATATTTCAGAAAGCACCTGTTCTATTCTTCTTAAAAAAAAAAAAAGAGGACTCCTTCAGGAAGGGAAGGAAAAATGAAAGGACCCTGCCCCCAAATAAATGAAAAATTCCCCCAAAAGAGGGTGAAAGAACGGTCCACAGTGACAAGAAAATAAAGACTGCAGGCTCATAAATTTAGGGCTGGAAGAGGCCCTTGGAGTTCATCAAGTCTAACTCTCTTATTTTACAGATTAGGAAACTGAGGCACAGAGAGGTTACATGACTTGCCCAGGGTCACAAAGCCAGGATTTGAACTCAGGTCTTTTTGACTCCAACCTTAAAATATGAGCTCAAGAAAGAGTTCAATTCAGGTCTTTGATTTTGAATGAGATTGCGTCATGGAAATTTACCTAAAGTTTGATACTCTAAGAAAAGCGTACACAAAGACATTCACCCAGGATTTTAACACATGGAGCCTACAATGTAGGCAGTGAGGGGCCGCTTTTCTGTAGGGTAGGTCCATCACAGAGCTAGAGCTAGAAGAAACCTCAGAGAACATCTGGTCCAAACTCCCTCATTTTATAGGTAATGAACCGAGGCCTAGAAGTGAAGTGACTTACCCAAAGTCATACAAATAGCAACTGATGGAAAAAAAGATTCAAACTCTGGTCAATTCAGAGTTAACACCAAAAAGGTCATAAAACCTATCTTCTCTTTTTAGATGACATTTTATTATTTTTCTTTATTATCCCCGAATTTACAGTTATACCATGGTGAGGGGGATGTTTTCAAGATGGGCCCTCCTGAATTACTTTTAAATACCAAGAGACTCACCAGAGTTGGAAAATAGCGACTGGTTTTGAACTTCTTCAGGGCCATAGAGCACGTGTATGTACCAAGAAAGAGGATAAAGGACATGAGCGTGATATCAGGAACATATTTGCAGGTGTTGCCCACGAGCTCCCCACCATATTTCAAACACTCCTTCTTAGACAAAGACGCCCAGTCAATGGTGGCATTAGGAGGCTAAAGAAAAAAAAATTAAAAATATTATATGGGACATAGAAACTTGCATTCATCAACCTATGACAACCTGATGGTACTGAAAGCGTAATAAGTTTTTGCAAAGTACTTAAGATAAATCCATGTAAGAAACAGATTTAATGGATCATTTAGCCAACATGCTATAGTCATGTTTCGTTAAAAGAAACAAACCATGGAACTAGGTAGAAACATCCTCAGTCTTTGAGTATCTGAGATCTTTTTCCCCTTTGTTGTTCCAAAAGAGATCTTTTAAGCTTCATTTAAAAAAAAAAAAGATTGTAACCAAGTTTTCATCTGTTCTTAATTAAGCTACCAGTGTTACAGACACAAAGCATGGATTCCATGACCCTGACTGCTAATTAGTAGGCTGAAAACTTAAAACATAGTAATGCAGTATCAGAGGTTAATGCATTTGAGATGAGCGAATTTTCCAAATAACTTAAAAGTAACCCTTCACCTCCTAATTTTTTAAAGATGTTAATCTCTAGAAAAAATTGAAAAAACTATATTAGCAAGTTAGAAATAAATTTTCAGTCTTTTACTTGTTTTTATGGACCTTTTATGGACCTTCTAAAGCAATCTGCATTGAAAACACCTGAACTTTATTCTGATGATTATTTTTACTCAATAATGCTCAAATCGATTTGTGATCTCATTGATTCGGGCATCCCCTTCATTGCCACAGACCGCTCCCCAACCCTGTACGCCCATCCTAGGTGACTCTGGTCCATGGCCTCCGATGAGTTCACCCAAGAGTGGCCGCTCAACATGCTGGAATTATTTTTAATTTATAAAAAAAAACAGAGATAGTAGTATGAAAATATTTATTTCAAAGTAAAAAAAAAGTGACAATTAACTCCCCTGGCTCTCCCAGTGCTGAAGTTATTACTGCTTCTTAGAAAAGTTTTCTCTTTATCTCCAGGTTCCCATCTGTTGTCTAAAGAGCTCAACCTGTCAAATGTCTGACCTTCAGATAAATGGCTGTTACTATCACAGTGTAGTGAGGGGGTATATCGACTTGTAAAGGAAAATTTGTTTGTTTACTAATTTCTTTTAGGGTTAAAGATTTTTTATATCTGGTAATGGAATACTGCCTTTTAAATGTGAGGATCTGCTTCTTTGCTCCTTGGAAGCAAGGGCATCCTCTCCCATACCCACCATACCACTAATACTGGTAGTTACTAACAGAACAGTTGTGACGTATGGGGTGAGGGAACTAGGTCATAATAAAACACAAACCCTGGTTTGAAGGAGCTTACTCTATAGACCTCAAGAAGTAAGGTGTTAAAACAAGTTAATTTTTTAAAAGTAGAATGCAAATTTTTATAACATAATTTTCCCGCAAATGTGTAAATGACTGAATTGCATAATTTCTCCCTATCAACCTTTACTTTTGATAGGTGATTAATCATACTTTGCTTTATATTTGAGATTGCTGAACACAGATTTTTTTCTTCAGGCCTTTCCTCCACTATTAAGGTCAAGATTTTCCTGCATTTAAAAGGTGCAGTCTTTGGTTTTGAAAGATTAATCAACTACCACCAAATATTTTATTCAGCAAAATTATAATATTTTTAAATCAGCAAAAATGTGCCATAATTTTTACTCTAAATTCTAACATCATCAACAAATACTACCCCATAAACAGCTAAGATTTCTTCCTGGCTTTCAAGATGACGTATAGACTAAATAGTTGTATGTGAGGGTGTGTGTGTGTGTGTGTGTGTGTGTGTGTGCGTGTATATATGTATACGTATTCATATGTACATGTGTACATATGTATATGTATACATGTGTATATGTGTGTGGTGTATGTGTATGTGTATGTATATGTATATGTGTATGTATCTGTATCTGCATCTGCATGTGTATGTGTATGTGTATGTGTATGTGTATGTGTATGTGTATGTGTATGTATATGTGTATGTATATGTATATGTATATGTATATGTATATGTATATTGTATATGTATATGTATATGTATATGTATATGTATATGTATATGTATATGTATATGTATATGTATATGTATATGTATATGTATATGTATATGTATATGTATATGTATATGTATATGTATATGTAAGAGCCAAGACGGTGAAGTAAAGGCAGGGACTTGCTTGAGTTCTCCCAAATTCTCCTCCAAACAACTTTAAAATAACACTTCAAAATGAATTCTGGAGCAGCAGAACCCACAAAAAGACAGGGTGAAACAATTTTCCACCCCAAGACAACATAGAAGGTCAGTGCCTGAGCAAGCCAGCAGCAGACCTTGGGGGTGACTGAATCAGCAGCAGAGGCAACTTCTGGATCATTCAGACCACAGGCAGTAAGGGGGTTAGGTAACTGGTCAGGAGATTACAGGGCAGCCTTTGCTGGCACTGGATGTAGGACTCTGTTGCATTGCTCATACATGGATCCAGCTTGTAGTCCTGGGTCACAGTCCCAAGGCAAGGAGAAGCACTAGCACATTGGAGCATGTGGCCACAGGACAGCAGGGACCCTGGTCATAGTTCCGGGAACACAGCCCAACTATAACATCAAGTTAAAAGTTAAGAGAGGCTGGGAAAAAAAATAACCAAAGAGAAGAAGGAGGAGGAAGAGGAGGGGAAGAATACGACCATAAAAAGTTACTATGATGATCAAAACAAAAACTCGGAGGAAGACAATAAAGTCAAAACTGCTACATCCAAAACCTCAAAGAAAAATGTGAATTGGTCTCAAGCCCAAAAAGAATTCTTAGAAGAGCTCAAAAAGGATTTTCAATATCAAATGAGAGAGGAAAATTTGGGAAAAGAAATGACAGTGATGCAAGAAAATCATGAAAAAAGGAGTCAACAGTTTGGCAAAGGGGGCATAAAAAATACTGAAGAAAATACAATATGCCAAATGGCAAAACAGGCATAAAAATCCAATGAAGAGAAGAACTCCTTAATAAGTAGAATTGGCCAAATGGAAAAGGAAGAACAAAAGCTCACTGAAGAAAATAAAAATTAGAATTAGGTAAGTGGAAGCTAATAACTCTAGGAGACATTAAGGAACAATAAAATAAAAGAATGGAAAGAATAGAAAAAAATGAAATATCTAATCAAGAAAACAACTGACCATGAAAATAGATCAAAGAGAAATAATTTAAGAATCATTGGACTACCTGAAAGCCATGATAAAATTTTTTTTAAAAAGAGCCTAGAAATCACCTTTGAAGAAATTATTGTGGAAAACTGCCGTGATATTCTAGACCTAGGGGGTAAAATGGAAATTGAAAAAATCCACTGATCACCTTCTGAAAGAAACCCCTAAATGAAAACTCCCCACAAAGTGAAGGAGAAAATATTGCAAGCAGCCAGAAAGAAACAATTCAAATACTATGGAACCACAGTGAGAATAACACAAGACTTAGCAGCTTCTACATTAAGGGATCAGAGGGCTTTGAATGTGATATCCTGGAGAACAAACAAGCTAGGATTACAATCAAGAATCACCTACCTTCCCCCTTTAGGGGAAAAAAATGGATATTTAATGAAACAGAGGACTTTTGAGCATTTCTGATGAAATACCAGAGCTGAAGAGAAAATTTGACTTTCAAATACAAGACTCAAGGGAAACATGTAAAAGGTAAACAGGAAAGCAAATAAGGTTAGACTGCTTACATTCCTACATGGAGATGATACTTTGCAGCTCCTAAGAACTTTCTCATTATTAGAAGGAGTATACATAGACAGAGGGAATGAGTGTGAATTGATATAATGAGATGATTATCTAAAAAAGTAAAATTAAGGGGTGAGAAAGCGGGATGCACTGGGAGAAGGGGTAAAGGAAAGGTAGAATGGAGTAAATTATCTCACGTAAAAGAGGCATGAAGAACTTTGACAGTGGAGGGAAATGTGAGGCAGGTGAAGGGGAGCACATGAACCTTACTCTAATTGGAATTAGCTCAAAAAAGAAATAACATACACACTCGGTTGGATGTAGAAATCTATCTTACCCTATAGGAAAGTAAGAGGGGAAGGGGATAAGAGAAGGGGGTGGGGCTGATAAAAGGGAGGGTGGATTGGGGAAGGCTGTGGTCAAAAGCAAAACACTTGTGAGGAGAGATGCGGTGAAAGGAGAGAGAGAGAGACAGATAAATGAGGAAAATAGTGTGAAGGGAAATACATAGTAATCACCAACTGTGAAAAAAATCTTACAGCAAATTTTTCTTCATTTCTCAAATATATGTAGAGAACTGAGTCAAATTAAAAGAATATAAGTCACTACTCAATTGATAAATGGTCAGAGGATATAAATACGCAATTTTCAGATGAAGAAATCAAAGCTATCTATAATCATATAAAAATGCTCTAAACAACCATCTATTAGGGAAATGCAAATCAAAACAACTCTAAATATCTATCAGGATGGCTTATATGACAGAAAAGGAAAATGGCAAATATTGGAGGGGCTATGGAAAAACTGGGACACTAAAGCACTGTTGGTGGAGTTGTAAACTGATCTAACCCTTCTGGAGAGCAATTTGGAACTATGCCCAAAGGGCCATAAAACTGTGAATACGCTTTGCCCCAGCAATACAACTACTAGGTTTGTATCCCAAAGAGGGAGAGAAAAGAAGGAAAATGACCTATACAGGCAAAAATATTCATAGCAGCTCTTTTTGTGGTGGCAAAGAATTGGAAGTTGAGGGGATTCCCATTAATTGGGGTTTGGCTAAACAAATTGTGGTATATGGTTGTGAAAAATGCTATTGTGCTATAAGAAATGATGAGCAGGATGCTTTCAGAGAAACCTGGAAGGACTTATATAAACTGATTCAAAGTGAACTGAGTAGAACCCAGAGAACATTGTACACAGTAACAGCAACATTGTATGATGATCAACTGTGAATAACTTCACTATTCTGACCAACACAACGATCCAAGACAATTATGAAGGACTTAGGATGAAAAAACTATCCCCTTCCACAGAAAGAACTCATGGAGTGTGA